CCTATCTTGTCTTCAATGTTCAACTCTCTTACTCTTCCTTAAATGCCTCCTAGGGTTTAAAATCCCTGGGAATGACTGCCAACTAATTTCTCCTCAGAGTATCACCTCTGAATCAACATTGAAGTCGTTAGAATAAATGAGATGATCGATAACTGAAGAGGTTCTTGAACGTTTTACAGATCAAATTCTCCTTGTTCATACAATAAAAATAGAGTTAAGAAAAATGTGGAGAATATGCCTCCCGATGTTAGCGTGTTAAGGGTTAAACTATCATGAAAACGAAGAGGGATGTGAGCAGCTACACACCTAACTATGTTTCTGTGAGTTGTTCTTTTCAATTGGATACCGTGCTCAGATTGGATAAAATTTCTCATACACGCAAACAAAACCATTGTGTTATTCTTCCTTTCATTCAGGGAGTGGAGGTGGCGGTGGCTGGGGACGTCGATAAAAACGTGGCACTAAGCTGAGGTGATTTTACAGTTTTTATTTAATCATACTTACCTTTAGCCAGTGAGGGGTTCTGCCCTCAGATCCCATCACATTCTCTTTCCAGAGGTGCAAATGGTAAAATCTACGATTGCTATTGATTCCCCGCATCTGGGGCTGGTCGCAGAATACAACTGTCAAACGATCAAGGAAGGTGTCTAATGACAGTTTTCTTTTTCTCCTTTTTACTGTTAATATACTTCTGCTAAAAATGTTGAACAAAATTTACTGACTCCGTGTTTCCAATGTTTTTAATTTGCTTTTAACTTTTAGGTTTTTTAGGTTTTTTCCAATAATTATTACGCCAGCAGAAGAATGGAGAACGAATGGAATAAGAGATACGTCATGGCTCAGTATTGTAGGCAGGGATAGCAAATAAACACTGAAATTAAGAGTGTGCTGTCTGTAATCTCTGGATGCTCACCATTTAAGCCCTGGGCCTGATTTTCCCCAATATAAACTTATAGATAAAAATTAATCGGGCATTCCAAACTTATTCGGCTTATTTTTTATTAACGTCAACAACCACTAAGTAGTCGAAGTTTCAACTTCATGCCTCAAGCGCATTTATCGTCACCTGTTCATTTTCTCATTCAGTTTACGTATCCCCTAAAGCGGAGTCATGCACTAGTGGCTTGAGTGGATGGAAAACAAAGGGGTCTTTTGGTCAAGCCGCATCTATCATCTCAATAAAACACTCCCGTATATCAGAAACTACAAAAGACTGTGTGTTTGATTTAATTCACGACTGACTAGTTTTTCATGTACTTGAGTTTCTCGTCTCAGGAGAGATCTCCTTATAGTTATAATATATTTTGGCCTTCCAATTGATCCATTGTGCAAATGGAAAGGAGATTTTAACCCTTTAAGAGAGGTTGTCAGTAATTTTCAAGAATCCGGCGATAGAAGCAAAAATTCAATTTTTTTTTATTTGCTCCAAAAGACCCTTATTTTGAACTGTTTTCAAAAATGATATTCAAAGTTCCAGCGAGTTTTTCTTTTGGCAAAAATACGAAAGTTCGAAATCGGCCAAAACGTACCAAATTTGCATAATTTCTATCTGGCTTTCAGTGCATTTTCACAACACTCGTACAAGACAACGAAAATTTACCTTGGATTCATTTTTTTATAAGTTGTGTTTCATCCCTTGGAGTAGCTTTGTAACTATATTTCATCTCCAATTCAACTTTTTTTCGTTTGTAACCACCCGCATAAAGTACACCATATTCTCTACTCCGTTTGTACGCTGAATTTTGCCATATTTCAGACGACCATAACATCGGGGGTATACGAATGTACATAAAATAAAAGAGCTTCTTTCAACGAACAATTCTTCGTGTTTATCATGTGAATACATTATCCTTGGCCCGAGAAAAGCGAGCACGCCAGACAAAAATATATAGCGTGCATTTTTACGGAGTTCGGCCATTTTCTTGCTGTAATCCTACTGCAAATCATACGCTATTCGGGCAAAACTCGAAGTGTTTGGTCTCTACTTCTGTTTTGATTCATTTAAATATATCGATTTTAACTTTAAACTTACCCTACCTTTATTGTTAAGTAAACAAACCTCCGTTTTAGGTAAAGTCTTTAAGTTTATTTTCCTCGAGTTCTAAATAAACAAATCGCTGTTTACAAAGATACCAGCTCTATCGACGTGTTTTTAGCTGAAATTGGCCTGTCGCTTATATTGTTCTTTAATTTACAATCTATCCCACTGGCATAACATTGGAGTAAATTACATGTAACTATAAATGTTGTTGTAAATACGTGAGCGTGAGCTAAATAAAATCTTCGCACACATAAAATATTCGAAACATGTAGTTGTCGCAAGAAAAGACTGCTTTAAAGGTCTTGATGGACCGCCACGTTGTCCAAACGAAACCAAGTTTTTATCTGAGACATACCAAGGCTGGGGCACTCTTGAATTTGGGAGTTTTCTTCTTAGTTTCAGTGCTAGATACCACACACAAAATAACAAAATGGAAAGATAAATAAAAGGAAAAATTTTAAAGGAATATGAGGAGAATAAGGAAAATTTGTTACCTACCAATGTTTCTTGAAGATTCGCTTTCCAAGATCCCGTATCTGTTTGTACGCAGGCTTATTCTAACAGCTCTCAGTTTTACGTTTACGGTTAAAACAATCGACTGAAGGAAGTTTAAAAGAGGTTTTAAAGAAATTACTTTTTTGAGCATTATTTAATTATCCAGGTCCCTGACATTCAGTTTCATTAAATTTTTCCATGCATGTTGATGTACAAAAGACAATGGAGTTTTGATGTTATGGCACATTTTTCACTCGCTTTCCAGAAATTGTGTCAAGTCTACCGTCATCCTTTGTTATTTGGCATTGCTACTATAGTATTGTAGTCAAAATGTTAGCTTTTTATGTCTCAGAGTTGATCAACATCTCAACTCTTCCATGTGATTCCAATCTTGTACATAGGTTATTAGAATAGATTGTTTCATCTGTCGTTGGCTGCTAACTTCACCTAACACAAAATCCTCCTGTGTAATTTATAAGGAAATGTATAGCAGTAAGAGGGGGTGCTACTAATTGGATCTTGGGAGTTAAAGACTTACCTTCTTTTTAACATAAAGTTACGACTGTTTACTCAGAGGCGTTGAAATTGACATAGTTTAGAGATTCATCAATTTCTACTCATAGGCCTTAACATCGAAGACATATCTTTTGATCGAGACGAACGAGACATAGAGACTGTCCCTAGTTTCTTATCGCACTGTCGCCTATGGAATTGTTACAAGTTCAAACAAATACAAATAAGCGGCGTTTTCACACAATATGGGAGGCCGACTTTTTAAAGCAATATTTGAACAATGTGAAACAAAGATATTCAACTAATGAGAATTTATCTCCAAGTGTTGTAAATTAGTTCTAAGAATCTATGTACTGTTAAAAAGATAGAAAGTAACTGAATATCTTTTTATGGAATTTTACTTTCCACAATGTTGTTATTAGTTCTTACGGAAATATATATTATTTTGCTAGTCTGTCAACAATGAAGGGTGGAGTTGCTAGGTTTCTACGCTACGTGGGGTTGCTGTTGTTTGGAATGTACAACTAATTGGTAGTTTTATTTCCAATTAAAAGTTGAATACACTGCTAAAGTCTTCATTATTCATCCGACTGCGCTGGAAGAATCAGAAAGGTAAGATGTCATCGCTTCCTTCGAAGTAGCTATGTCCGATGTTGTATGTTAGGTAAATTTTGTTCGGCAAGATTCAATATGCAAAGGGTGACTTTGTAACCGAGAGAAGCTAAAAGGGTGACATGTCAAATTAAGGTCTGGATGGCATTTTTCATTATGAAGCAAGAATATTGGAAGTACTCTCGCCAAAGCAAGATGTAAGAGAAAATCGTTGGATAGGTCGACACATTCTTGATAATATGATTTAATTTAAATTTCGTTGCTAATCGTCCAAAAACATTTGAGTCACAGTTTCATATTAAAGTTTTACCCCTCAGTTTTTAAAAAAATGAACAGATGTGGACTATTCAAGAGACAAAAGCTCAAAGTACAAAGTCTGAATATAAAAAAAATTCCATAAAATGGAACTTAGCAGTATGAAAACCAACACGAATAAAAAAATCTGAACCATGAAATTCATAATTTAGAGATACAGTAAAAGATCAATCGACGGGTCACTCTTGTGTGAAATTAGACGAGTTACGTGGCATTAGTGATGTGTTGACCAGTTCGAAGCCTCACAGCTGGAGGGCGAGTAAAAAGTGCACAGAAAAGAAATTTTTTTCTTTTTTTTATTTAAGTTAAATTTAAGAATAGTTCGTGAACATGAACGGATCTTGCATTGGTATCTGATGAACTAAGAAGAATCACCCTTCACTGCTCGTTGAGGGGTAGCAATTTGGTTTCATTCATTTCCTTTGTTACTTAAAAAAAAAACAATATTTTGTTTTACTCTCCATCCGCAGGATCAAAAGTTGATTCTACAAGGATATTAAGTTTAAAAATGATATCAACAGAAAGCGGTTTCGTAGTACAGTGATTTGATGATTTCCTTTCATTTTCCCACAGATGCCAACCGCAGGCAAGGACATTATTGGCTTGTGGCTCATCGTATTGGCTGCAGTGAATCTTTCTCAAGGTAAATAACGTTATAATCCATTCCACTATCAAAACGAATTCCTCTCATTTTTGCTGATAAAAAATACGGTATTATTAATTGTCAGAATTCTATACGTGGTTTCTAAACTGGTTTCTTGGCTCAGTTGTCAGAGGCGCTCAACCAACCGGCATATGTAGGCACTGGTTCTATACTCGTCGAAGCCTTCTTCTGCAATGACGTTCGATTCACTTCAGTTAACCAGCTGTAAAGAACACATCTTTCCTTTCCATGTAAGAGATACTAGGCTTTCATGTATTCCGGGTTTATAGCCCTGAATTGAAAGAAATTTTTGGTAGAGTATGCTCGGCAAAGAGATTGATTTCTTACAGGTCACTAGATTCAAAGGCTCACCAAAGATGAGTTTTTAATGCATTTTCTCTTTGTTTAGCCGCTTCATCCGATTGTGAGAATCCTCCATTAGACATATCTATCGTGATCGATCAAACAAAGAGCGTAGGAGCGGACAACTATGACGCCATGTTGGATTCGGTCATGGCACTCATTTCGCAGTATGATGTCGGTGAAGACAAGACACACTTCTCCATCGTAACTTATGCAAAAGACGCAAAAGTTCGTGTCAGCTTTGATGACCCAAAATATCAAAGTAAAGCGGCTCTTCGTGCACTGATTGAAGAGATGAAGGAGAAAGACAAGTTGGGGAACCCGACGAGGACTGACAACGCCTTGAAAGTGGTCGGCGAGGACGTGTTCAACGAAAAGAATGGAGATCGACCGGAATCACCAAACGTCATGATCATCTTCACTGACGGAGGAACGCATAAGAGTTCCGAACCCTACAGTACCGTGCTACCAACTCTTGAGGTGAGACCGTAAAACAGACAGTCTAAATCTCATCAGTTCGGGGAAATAAAAGAAACACTACATCGACTCAAATGCAAATAATGACGAACGGCGTTGGAGAGCGGCCCATTGAATTTTTTTTGTTTACAGTGCCCCAGATCAATTTAAAATTATTTTTAAAGAAAGATTTATCGAATATTCATTTAATTTTATTGTGTTACTTTTTCTAATGCTTGTTCATTTCTTGCATTTTGCAAGCGGTATGGCAAAGTCAAAATAACATGTCGTAGCTTCTCAATAGCTAAAAGGTAGTGATTTATCAACTGCCGACTGTTTACGTCTCTCCGATAAGATAGCTTGGGACTTTCTTTGTTAATCGTTTTCATCAACATTAACAAATGGTAAAGTGACTTGTAGGTGAGAAAACAGCTGAAAAATTGTTCTTTTCGGGCTAAAAGCAATTTACACGTGTAACTGGTCTAAAAAAGAAAAAATAAAATCTCAGCGAGCACTAAAGCCTTGCATTCCAAGTACTGGGTGGGTGCTTTCATCAACTAAGCAACGAGGCCACATTATGCTGGATGTAAGGCAAATTTAGTTGGATTCTTGTTCCCCATGAAAAAAGAAACCTGGTCACGTTATTGTAGACGCCGTTTGATGGAAAGGCTTAAGTTGCACTTTATCATTTAAGATCAACTCATTGCTGGTCAGAATTTTTCACTTTGCAGATGGCAAGCGCTATCATGCTTCTTATTTCTGTCCCACGTCAATTTGTCACCTTGTAATCACACATATGACGGCTAAAAAGCAACTAATATAAAGAGAGGCGAAAAATAAGGCTCATAATTGCAATCTCACTACGCAGGAAAAAGGAGTACAGCGAGTGGCTGTGGGGATTGGTAAACAAATTAAGCAGGCAGAGCTTATAACTATTGCTGGAGCTGAGAATCGAGTCGTTAATGCAAAAAATTTCGAAGACTTGAACAACCAGTTGGACGATATTCGCGAAGCTACTTGTAGTAAGTATCATCTTCCTTCAATTAAAGAAAGATTAGCTGACTTTGATTCTTCGTTTTTTGTCTGCTCTCACTGCTACATCCTATATATTGACGAAAAGACGAATTATGATGTTGAGGATGCAGTTTTTGGAGACATCACGCCACCGAGACACTATTCGGTTTCCTAGGGAAAGTGGCGACAACTAAATGGTATTTACTAGATTATTTGCCAAAGGACTATCTTATGATGGTTCAGTAAAGGTTAAGTTTGTCTTCGAGCCCAATGGCCCACAATGGCCAGCCGGAGCTTGTCCCGGTTTCCTCGGTATGACATCACTTGGAGTGACCCAATCCCTCCTTGGATGGCATTCTAGTTCATCTTAGGGTTACCTCCAGCATTTTATCAGGCATCCCTGACAATTCAGTGCTACTCATTTATACTTCTAGGTGGAGAAGGGCGCTGTCAGGGTAAAGAGTTTTACCGGCGAGGTCTCGGACCCAGACCTCTCAACCTGCTGCTGGAATTCAGCGCACTAGTCACCAGGCCACCGCGTGTCCTGCGCTCTTTATGTAATTAACAAAATGATTCCTTAAGCAGGAGATGACTGAGAAATTCACAAATCATTTTCATATTTGATTGCTGCTGTATTTTTAGACATTGATGGAGGATATACCGAGTGGTCTGAGTGGAGTGAATGTACAGCAACTTGTGGTGGGGGAAGTCGTTCTCATTCAAGAACCTGCACCAACCCGTCACCAAAAAATAAAGGAAAAACTTGCATTGAACAGGATCTGGGTCCTAATATGGAATCTGAAGAATGTAACACCCAAGACTGTCGTTAGTATAATGCATTCACTTCTCTACATTTACTTCTCTTGTTCTTAAATATAATAACCAAACTATACACAGTGAGTATGCTATTAATACTTGCATGCAACACTTTGGTAAAAAGGAAAATTTAATTGTTACAAAAGAAATTTCTTTTTTTTTTTTATATCGGTAGTTGAACTATGTTTACGTAAGGTAATGTTTATCACCTTTTTAATAAACAGAAACATGTCCACTTTTAGATGGAAATCCAATAAAGGCGGGGCCAACATGCATTTCTAGGAAGAATTATTCCACCCACTTATGAGAGCTGTAGGTGCCTGATCAATAAGGTCTTGACTGGTATTACGCGTTTGAACAAATTACTTTCCTCAGCCATACCTGGTGGTTACACTGATTGGTCAGAATGGGGAGAATGTAGCGTGACATGTGGTGGAGGAGTTCAGACACGAAAACGGACCTGTACCAATCCCCCGCCGTCTGGTGGTGGGCCAACATGTGTTGAGCAAAATCTGGGACCAGCAGAGGAACAAAAGGAATGCAACTCACGAGATTGCGGTGAGTCAGTTTGAGACGTAGTAGAGTTATGGTTACACCCGCGGGGCTTTATTCCAAAAAGGAATTATCAAGCATAACCTTTAACGATTTAAATTCCTTTGGTGTAAAACATTTTCGATAATCCTTCGAAAATCAAAAACGTGTTATGGCAAAGACTTTGACCCATCGAAGGAAACTTTAGAAAGAATGGATTCATAAGAAGTTTGAGATTGTGAACGAGTGAGGTACTCGAATATGTACATTCCAGGACCTTTTCTTTACCATCAACAATTTCGTTTTATCCGATGGGTGTTGAACAAAAAATTTGGATCAACACTAATGACAAAGAAATGCGACACAGAGCGTTGTGATGTGAGTTGTTCGGTGGGAAGGGTGAGTAAAATTATTAGCTTTGTCATACCTTTCATTGTTTCACTGTGTGACAAATGAATATAAAAACAAAAGGGAAGGTAATACTCTATCTGAATGATTTTTCTGGTATATTATGAAGGACTCAGGAGAATGGGTTTTCCTTCGATGGGAGATTGTGGTACCCTCAACACCACCAGACTGTATGTTACGATACGTATTATTACTATCATCTCCATCATCTTGGTTTGTGGTATTCTATTGTGCATGCATAACTATTTAATGTTTAATTTTTTACAGGTGAAGATGGCAACTGGTCCTCCTGGGGTGCCCCTGGTCCTTGTGATAAGACCTGTGGGGGAGGTACTCGAGTGAGGAAAAGAACATGCACCGACCCACCTCCATCTGGGGGCGGTAAAGATTGTGCAGGAAGCAGTACAAAAGATGAGCCGTGCAACACACAAGCATGTATGTTCTTGTTCAAAAGCATTTGTACATCTTCGTCATGTCGAAGTGCAGATTGATGTTTATCGCAAACGGAGCGAAAATTCAAATATAGGATAGTTCTTAAAGGCATTTCTCTGTTAGGCCTCGAATGGCGCCACTGCAAGTGGCATGGTAACATGTCACTTCCCATGAATACGTCGTATGTCGACTACGAAATGTGTAACCCACGATAGCATTCACTCCGAATGCTTCGTTCTTCAATTTCTTTCAGTCCGTCACTTTTTGGCGTGGACTTGAAACTTACTCAATCCTCCATAAAAACTAAACTCCATAAAATTTTGGATCGAATCAAATCTAAAGAATATTTAAACCTTAATTAATCTTAGCAGTTCTGCGTCAACCCTACTGACAATGTCAATCTTGAAGTTAGGAGACACCCCGCAAGGAGATGCAAATGATCGGCTTCTTGATACCCTGGACTTCGGATAGAGCCTTGTCCAGGTCATTATTCTGTGTTAAGAAAGACAATTTATTCCCACAAATCAACTCACCAGCTCGAAGGGTATCATTAAACTGCCGCATAAACATGAGGGGGAGGGGTGGCAGTGGGGAGCGTTACAATGGACTGAGATCCCTTCCTCTTTAAAACTGACACAGGAATAAACTCCTACGTGATGGCCCCCCTGGTTCCAAAGCTGTTTTTTTTTTCTTTTATCCTTATCTTAATGGCACGCCTGCTTCCAGAGCTGACTTTTTCTTCATCTTTAACATTTTATCATCAAGGCCCAACTTCACCTCCACCTCCACCTCCACCCAAACCTTGCAAGGAACATCTCGACGTTGGTGTCATAGTCGATTCCTCCAACAGCATCAGTTCTGTTGATTACAATAGAGCACGTGATTACTTAGTTCGACTAGCTCAAAGACTAGAGGTTTCCGAAGCCGGAACACATATGGCGATCCTTCTCTACAGTTGGGAAGCACATCTCTGGCACAGGTCTGTACATTCATGTCATACATAGGGAACGTCTGAGTTTGGAGATGAGGCTAAACTTTCCAATTTTTTTTGTGATGGGAGGAAGGAAGGTGGGAGGGGGGTGAGGGGGGTGAGGTTAAATGGGACGTAAGCCTGTGAAATGTTCTTGACATTTAAAGTCGGTAGAGGTTAAAATTAAATCAATGCATTTTTAAATATAAACTGATAAATTATTTATAGCTTTCTATCCTAAAGATTTCAGTAATTTCGTAGTTACAGACAACAATTTGAGTTTTTTTTCATTGCATCATGAATATCTTATACTCTTACACTTGATCCCAAAGACTTGCACAACTATCTTCCTTCAATTATTTTCTCCCATCAATGCTTTTCAGATTTACCGATCCGCAAAATATTAATGCACTAACAGCCAAAGCCAGAAGCTTGCCGCATATTCGAGGTGGAACAAGAACAGACAGAGCTCTAGAACTAGCTGCGGAGGAGTTTTTCGGTTGGGACAATAGTGGAGACAGACCCGATAAACCAAATGTGCTACTTGTGCTGACTGATGGTGACACAAACGAAGGGAGTAAGCCATTCAGTCAAGTTATTCCTCCTTTGAATGTGAGTTATCTTTCAAATAGCAGATCGAAACACTTAGATAGACTCGAGAAACTGACCATGTAAGCTCTTAAAAATACTTAATCTCCGACTAAAATTCTTCTTAGGTTAAGACTGATATAGCCAATTAATCTCTTTCTGTGCAGAGAGTCCTCGGATTTCACACCCCAGCGCTATCTTCCTATCTAATTTTGCAGGATGCAAGCGTAAGGAGAATTGCTGTCGGAATTGGAAGTGGAATAGATATCTCGGAGCTTCAACAAATTGCTAGCGACAATCATGATGTACTACAGGTTAATGGGTACCAGCAGTTAATCCCCAAACTAGAGTCCATAATGACCAAGGCTTGTGAAGATCAGTATCCAGGTAGGTTGACATGAATATAGCATTGATACAAACTGTCAACACTGGGTTAAAATGTGGCCCTTTGTGATGCTGCCATTACTATGCAGTCTGTTCGATTCTACAACGACTGTTCAATCCATGAAGAGTTCAGGCTTAAATCAGGTTCTTCCAGGTTGTTCTGTCATTTTCTCGCTGCTTCCAGTTACCTTCTGCATTCAGTGTTCTTCCGAGTCAGGTTTCTTTTCACTGTCTTTCAATCGTAGCCAAGGCCTTCCCTCTGTGATAACTTATACAAAATAACATTTTCTGAGCAAAAAATGCAATTTAGGTGTGTACGCTTATTTCAGGTGTGTACGACAACATATAATACAAGGCTTCTAGAATAAAGGACTAGGATGATATGATCGTAAATAATCGTTGTGTCATAGGTACATGCATGATGTATATAAGTAGAACACACGCGTTAAGTTTCCCATTAAATCAGCATTTCCGTCATTTCTTTCAGACCCTTTTTCATTTTACTTTTCCTTGATTGTAAATAGGTGATTGTGGCGAGTGGGGATCTTACGGAGGCTGCAGTAGGAATTGTGGTGGCGGAGCACAGGTTCGTACCAGAAGTTGTCCTCCTAAAAGTCTACATTTAACGAAACAAAGGAAGCATTGCAACACAAACCTTTGTCCAGGACAAGGTAAATACTTATTATTAGTTTAATCGATTGTTATCATATTTGCTACTGTTTAACGAGGATTGTTATCTTGCACGGTCATCGGATGGTTAACAACAATTTACCGAGGTGGAGGTGGCTAGTGGTGAATATTTACCGAGCGGCAAAGCAGTGAAGCAGCGAGGTAAACATCCACTGTGAGCTACCGACACTGAGGTGAATAGTTGTTTAGTATATACTAAAACGGTGAGTTAATACAGCTCGAAAAGATGATTTCGAATCATCCATTCTTATAACGATTACAATATTTTCGGGTACAAATCTCACGCGCGTTGCTCGGAGGTGAATCGCAAGAGATATTCGAAGTTTTAGTAGCCAATCAGAACGCGCCTTCGACGCTATTCACTGTTTTAGTTTATAGTAACTAATGATATGGGATTTATTTCACAATCAAATTTGCAGTTTTTAAAACTGACTTCGTCAAATAGGCGCTTCACTGAATAGAACACAGTTCAAAAGTTCTGCCAAAAACTGTTGTAACATTTGTTTCGCTGAGGTCCAACCTTGGTCGGGGTGGCAACATTTGCCATCAGATTGATGTTAGCCTCTTTCAAACGACTTTGCTGTAGTATTGTGATAGTAGTGCTAATAATAATAGTAGTAATAGCGGAAGGTAAAACTCTAGTGACGATACTTTATTAATTGATTACTCTTCAGAGCCTTGTGAAGACCTTGCAGGGGATTGTGCAGTCAGAGCTGCTAAAGGAGACTGCTGGAGGACCGCTAATGTACCTTCCAGTCAACGTTTGCTCTACGTTGGCAGGACGTTTCCTTTGTGGAACACTTGTCCAAAAAGCTGCAGACGATGCAATGGTATGAGTAAAAAGGCGAAGATTGGCCTTCTTCGGTCATCAATCATTTTCTTTATGGTCTTCTTTTTCATATTATAATTTTTATTCCTCATATTTATCCTTTTCTTTGTCTTCCTTCCCCTTGATATTCTATGAGAATTTTACTTTCCATCTTCTTCTTCTTCTTGTTTTTCTTCTTCGCCTCCTTGCCATTCTTTAATTTTTATTCTTAAACTTCTTCCTTTTTTGTCTCTTTTTACGGATTGCCTTCCATGATATTCTACACATATTTTACTTCCTTTCAGTCGATACCTCTTGTCAAGATGACGATCCCTATGTTTGTCCTTGGTGGTCAGTAGCTGATCGCAATAGGTGGAAATGCAGCTTTGCATGGCGACAAGGCTGGACTCGGTACTCTCTAGCAAGTGAGCAGTGAAGTCGTTGATATAGAAAATGCTCCCGGAAGATGTACATCTTCAGGAAGCTGAGAAATGTTCCGACTGCTTGAGATCAAGGCATTAATTTTTATTTTAAAATAGAAATATTGGAAGAGACTGATTTGTTTTGCTTTACCTCGTTTTATGATTGGTCCATAAAACTCGCGCCACTCACATACGTTTGAAGTGGTTGAGTGTTTTTTACGTTTAGTTCTTTTTACCTTTTGACTGCTCGTGATATTTCCGTTTCATCTGATTTGCCTTTTTTTACGCTGGTTATCGAAAACAACTTCGCAAATGTAGATAAGTATTGAAAGAAAGGACTTTTTTTCAATTCTTGAGAAACAACGACGTGACGAAGTGAATGCGTGCAGTGAAGACAACATCTTTCTAAGTCATTAGGTGCTCACCAGCAACTTGAACAACCGATATAGTAATAATGATTAATGACGAGTTCACATTCTGGCGAACCCGATTTAAAATTCTAGTCAATAATGATCGGGATTATTATCTATTATCTAAGTGAACCCCTTAAAACAGTTGGCCGATAATTTAAACAGACAACGGGAAGCAACTTCTCTATTAGAGCAATAAGGTACGTCTTCTATAGTTTTTCAATTAAAAATTGCCCACTCGGAACCTGAACCTCCTGAGAAGCTGATAACGAAAGAATAGTTTTTGTCTGTCTCACTTGATTTTGAAAATTACCCCATGAAGTAAAGTGTGTGTTATCACTATAATTTCGTTTCTCTTCATCCTTCAGACTATTGCAAGAAAAGTTGTGGCAAATGCAGCGGAGGAGGCGGAGGTGGAGGAGGCGGAGGAGGCGGAGGAGGTAGCCATATCATATCAGCCGGTCGTTCAACAGCATAACCTAACTATCCGCTCGACACCCTTTTTTCATGAATTCGGAAAACGTTGTTTTCATTCTGCTCCTATGTCCCAATAGAGCTCTGATACTGGCCAGTATTACCTCATTTGATATTGCAACCTCTTCAAAGAAATTTAGAAATAGATCTCATGCATAATTGATGGTACGGGGCTAACATGCATTTCTAGATGAAACAATTTTATCGACCCATAAAATCTGTTGAAAATGAAGTAATTATCCCTTTCTTGGGCTGGCTTGATTAACAAGGCTCCTAATTAAATGACACACTAGGTGGTTATACTGATTGGACTGAAGAAATCATGACACGCAAGGGGAGGGGTTGAGACACGAAAACGGACATGTACCAATCCTCCACCCTCTGGCTATGGGCCAACACGTCTTGAGCAAAAATTTAGACCCGCTAAGAATCGAAAGAGTTGATGTGAGACGTAGTAGAGTTATGGTCAGCCCTTCTTCTTAACGTTTGGGGTTCTTTCAATTGCAATCTTTTAGCATGTCAGGATTCCAACGTCTATTACTGTCGGAGTAAGGTTAAATGGCCAGGCTGCGGCAATTATTTTGTGAGAGGTAAGCAGTGTGACTTTTATTTGAGTCATCCATCTCATTAAGGATGAATTGCTTTTTGCAGTTTATAAGTAGCCTGGCCAAGAAGAAGCATATAGCTTCTTGACGAAAAAATCCATATCGAACATCACTGTCACCGAATTTAAAGCTATAAAGCTCTTCGTGCGTTTCAGGTGCGAGAGAAAAGGCTGGGTGCGGTTGCTTCAACCACTGCAATTTATTGAGGCGTTAATACTTCACCATGTTTAAGATAAAGCCTGCTCCAGTGTTATAACCTTACGTCAAGTGCCAACAGCGAAAGGCTTCAGTCGCATTCATTTCCTGCTGAAATCTCACTGACTTACATAAAAGTCAAATCTTATTTCTTGCATATTACCAGAAAAGCACTCGCCTTGGACATGGGATCTGAACCCGGCTGGTAAAAAAAGACTAACGTTAAGTCGTCAGAGATGTTGGAAATTGTAAATTACGCTGGGACAGTTATTACTTAACAGACGAGTGTAACAAGACGAGGTATACCTACTCCGAAAAGAAATTCGTCGGGTGTTTAATGCTTTCCATACTTCGAACAGCCACACTGATGGAGATATTTCAATCAAGTTTACCTCGTTTTGTCTTATCTAGCATAACTTCACTCGTCTTATTTGATGATGAACATGATCATTTTGTCTTATTTCAAATATTGATCAGTTACTCAACCATTTATTTTTTCAGGCAAATGCAAGAAGAGTTGTGGCCTTTGCAGCGGAGGTTAATATTCTTTCCTCTCTTTTATAATCCTTGAGTTTTATGATATGCACTAAAGAGTAGAGATCGCCTTGCAATAACTGTTCGTTCAATCTCAGACAATTTATTGATATTTAAGTGTGGGAGGAGAATTTCTTTGCCTATCTTGTCTTCAATGTTCAACTCTCTTACTCTTCCTTAAATGCCTCCTAGGGTTTAAAATCCCTGGGAATGACTGCCAACTAATTTCTCCACAGAGTATCACCTCTGAATCAACATTGAAGTCGTTAGAATAAATGAGATGATCGATAACTGAAGAGGTTCTTGAACGTTTTACAGATCAAATTCTCCTTGTTCATACAATAAAAATAGAGTTAAGAAAAATGTGGAGAATATGCCTCCCGATGTTAGCGTGTTAAGGGTTAAACTATCACGGAAACGAAGAGGGATGTGAGCAGCTACACACCTAACTATGTTTCTGTGCGTTGTTCTTTTCAATTGGATACCGTGCTCAGATTGGGTAAAATTTCTCATACACGCAAAAAAAACCATTGTGTTATTCTTCCTTTCATTCAGGGAGTGGAGGTGGCGGTGGCTGGGGACGTCGATAAAAACGTGGCACTAAGCTGAGGTGATTTTACAGTTTTTATTTAATCATACTTACCTTTAGCCAGTGAGGGGTTCTGCCCTTAGATCCCATCACATTCACTTTACAGAGGTGCAAAAGGTAAAATCTTCGATTGCCATTGATTCCCCGCATCTGGGGCTGGTCGCAGAATACAACTGTCAAACGATCAAGGAAGGTGTCTAATGACAGTTTTCTTTTTCTCCTTTTTACTGTTAATATACTTCTGCTAAAAATGTTGAACAAAATTTACTGACTCCGTGTTTCCAATGTTTTTAATTTGCTTTTAACTTTTAGGTTTCTGGTTTTCCAATAATTATTACGCCAGCTGAAGAATGGAGAACGAACGGAATAAGAGATACGTCATGGCTCAGTATTGTAGGCAGGGATAGCAAATAAACACTGAAATTAAGAGTGTGCTGTCTGTAATCTCTGGATGCTCACCATTTAAGCTCTGGGCCTGATTTTCCCCAATATAAACTTATAGATAAAAATTAATCGGGCATTCCAAACTTATTCGGCTTATTTTTTATTAACGTCAACAACCACTAAGTAGTCGAAGTTTCAACTTCATGCCTCAACGCGCATTTATCGTCACCTGATCAGTAATTCGTTCATTAATTAATATAAGACATGTTTTTAAAAAGGGCTTATCCTTAAAAACCAAAACTTCTTAAAAGTATCACTTTCCTTAATTAAAAGTATCGTTCTTAACTATCACTAGACTTAATAATTCAAAATTCCTTGAAATTGCCAACCCACCTAAGCTCTCCCTAAGATTTATATTTTCAAGTTTCCCCCTTTGAGACTCTTTGAAATGGAACGGAGCAAACCTTCTTGGTTTGCAAAAATACAAATACAAACTAGTTAAGTTTATGATTATTGACTTAAGGCAAATCCAGCGATACTAATGGTTCTTCTGCCCCAGCCTGCAAATTCGAGGTTCGGTGAACAACAACTCCCTTTCGCAAAATAGATGAGCCTTGACAAAGGCTGACTCGTTCCTTTACTTGCTTGAATTGCTAAGTAGACGATGACAAACCTTGATATTGAGTGCTTAACAATTGACAGAAGATAATCAAGTCAAAATTGACGTTGGTAAGGCTGCAAGCTATCTCAGAAAACCAAGACTTAGGGAAAGAGATCCTCACAGGTAACTGGAAAACTTTATTTCTTGCTTTTTCCTCGCTTAGCGTTTTTTATTTCATGCTTCCCGGAAAGTTACCTGTTATATCGGTTAATCGTTTGATATGGATAATAGCTTATCTTAGCTAGATACTTGCTCAGCAGAGTATTTCAAAATGGCCCATTCCGGAATGTCCGTTTTGCCTGCATCACCTCGCATTTTTTCACTTTTCTGCAGTAATTTTCAGTAGTTAGTTTCAACGCCACAGGTCTTAATATTTGAGCCTAATGCCTTTTGGGTAAATACTTATTAATATGTAGTTCTCACCACAGAATAGATTTATTGAAAGTAAATAATCCGATTTCTCAAATGTTTCAACGTGTTTGCATATCAGACATCCATTTTAGACAAGGCGCTCTATTTCAATCGATTCGCAATCAAAAACAGTTTCCAGTTTCCCTTTCAATATTGTTCTAAAACATGTGAAATTTATAAATAAAATGAGACATTCAAAGTCAATGCGGAGACATTAGAAAAACAAATTAGAGAAAGAATTAATGTTCTTTGTCTGTGTTCAGCAAGTTGTTCACCACAGTAAGAGAATTATATATCACCTGTAAACAGCCGTTTTTTCAAGTTTTTTCGTCGTTAATTTGAAGAAATTGAGCAAAACAGGTTCTTGAAGGCTTTGGGAATTCGAAAATCGAGCAAAACAAGAGTTCATTTTCTCATTCAGTTTACGTATCCCCTAAAGCGGAGTCATGCATTAGTGGCTTGAGTGGGTGGAAAACGAAGCGGTCTTTTGGTCAAACCACATCTGTCATCTCAGTAAAAGACTCTCGTATATCAGAAACTACAAAAGACTGTGTGTTTAACTTAATTCACGACTGATTAGTTTTTCATGTACTTTGAGTCTCTCGTCTCAGGAGAGATCTCCTTATAGTTATACTATATTTTGGCCTTTCAATTGATTCATTCTGCAAGTCATCAAGTTCCCCCTTTGTTGTCCTTTGGATGAGTCTGGAGGAGGAATAGCAATGCTCATAAGAGGGTGCAAAGAGGGCGGAAAACAAAGGGGTCTTTGGTCAAGCCGCATCTGTCATCTCAATAAAACACTCCCGTATATCAGAAACTACAAAAGACTTTGTGTTTGATTTAATTTACGACTGACTAGTTTTTCATGTACTTTGAGTTTCTCGTCTCAGGAGAGATCTCCTTATAGTTATACTTTATTTTGGCCTTCCAATTGATTCATTCTGCAAGTCAACAAGTTCCCTTTTTGTTGTACTACGGATGAGTCTGGAGAAGGAAAAGCAATGCTTATAAGAGGGTGCAAAGATTGGGGCCTCTGCAAGGGTAAATAGGATGCAGCTGTCCAGGGCGTGTTTCTAGCGTGCCTGGATTACCAGGGTCGCAAATTACTTCACGTTCTGAAACCTTCTTGGTTTGCAAAAATACAAATACAAACTAGTTAAGTTTATGATAATTGACTTAAGGCGGTTCCAGCGATACTAATAGTTCCTCTGCCCCCAACCTGCAAATTCGAGGTTCGGTGAACAACAACTTCCTTTTGCAAAATAGATGAGCCTTGACAAAGGCTGACCCGTGCCCTTACTAGCTTGAATTGCTAAGTAGACGATGACAAACCTTTTTATTGAGTGCTTAACGCTTGATAGAAGGCAATCAAGTCTAAGTTGACGTTGGAAAGGCTGCAAGCTATCTCAGAAAACCAAGGTTTAGGGAAAGAGATCCACACAGGTAACTGGAAAACTTTATTTCTTGCTTTTTTTCTCGCTTAGCGTTTTTCCTTTCATGCGTCCTCGGAATGTTGAACCAGTTATCTCGGATAATCGTTTGATATGGATAATAGCTTATCTTAGCTAGGTTCTTGCTCAGCAGAGTATTTCAAAATGGTCCTTCGACTCTTCGAAGAACGTCTTATACAGTTTTTCATTCCGGAATATTCGTTTTGCCTGCATCACCTCGCATTTTTTCACTTTTGTGCAGTAATTTTCAGTAGTTGGTTTCAACGTCACAGGTCTTTATATTTGAGCCTCTTGCCTTTTGGGTAAATACTTATTAATATGTAGTTCTCACCACAGAATAGATTTATTGAAAGTAAATAATCCGAATTCTCAAATGTTTCAACGTGTTTGCATATCAGAGACATCTATTTTAGACAAGGCGCTCTATTTCAATCGACTCGCAATCAAAAACAGTTTCCAGTTTCTCTTTCAATATTGTTCTAGAACATGCGAAATTTATAAATAAAATGAGACATTCAAAGTCAATGCGGAGACATTAGAAAAACAAATTAGAGAAAGAATTAATGTTCTTTGTCTGTGTTCAGCAAGTTGTTCACAACAGTAAGAGAATTTTATATCACCTGTAAACACAGCCGTTTTTTCAAGTTTTTTCGTTGTTAATTTGAAGAAATTGAGCAAAACAGGAGCTTGAAGGCTTTGGGAATTCGAAAATCGAGCAAAACAAGAGTTCATTTTCTCATTCAGTTTACGTATCCCCTAGAG